CCCCCATGAAATGCAACACTCAAACCATACATATTATCACCTAGGTTCTTCTCGGTCCTCCACCAGGAGATGGAAAATGTCAAACCTCTAGTTGGCTTCCGTTGAGAGTGGATGAACAGGTTTGAGAGTGGGAGTATTGCTATGTAGGAAATGTACAATGGAACTTCTTCCAAGAATTTCTGAGCCATCAGAATGGAATTGGCACTTTGTCCATTTACATAACCTTTCTGTGGTTAAGATGCAGTATCTGTGAAGAAAATTACAGGTGCTCATGCCATTAGACCCCCTCCCACCACCACCACCACCATCAGGGCAAAGCCTAAGGACCTACAACATAGGAGAGGAATTTCCCTAGAATTAAGGAGGCATATATTCTAGTGACCAAGGCATTAGGATTTCTAAATCAAGGCATAGGGTTTGTATACGTTTCTAAAAAGTTCATAAGCACATAGTTTTGAAAACATTTACAGGGAAAAAAAATGCTATGACCTTTGGATATACTTTACTTGGAAACAGTGGTCATAAATGTATCCCTATGGTCAATTCTGATAAGAAGTGTTATAATGAGGGGTGATAGGATGTTCAGACCTCTGTAGGGAGAGAGATTTCCTTCCAAATCCCTCATCAAATCAAGATATCTGGGGTTGAGTGAGCCTTAAGGCTCAGGGAGTACCCCTCTGTCAGGCAGGAACAAGCTCAGAATTAAAAGATGCAGGTAAATGGCTGAGCCCAGCCAATCAGCATCAAGTCAGGGGAGGAGGATCCTAAGACTTACAGAGAAACAAGCAGCTGAGTCCCTGCTGGCCTTCAGTGGTGGCTGGACTGATGCTGAATCTACACTTGAACCAGACAGTAAGGAGTCTGTGCTAGGGACGTCCCTTGGCAAAATCATGACAATTGTTAGTACCTTGCCCTACACACTGCTCAATCTCTCTATAACATCTCAGATTCTCCACTTTTATCAACTAATCCCACAGGCCACCATAACTTCCTCCTCTCAAGGAGGACAATTTCACTGAGATAGGATGAGCTGCATTTCAAAAAGGGACCCTGGAGAGGACACTATCTTAATACAAAGGTAGGAACCTAATGTTGAAATTCCAGACACTACAGTCGGAGTGGAAGTCAATGGCTGGGCAGGAAGACCTATGACAAAATCACCATTTCTCCTGATCAAGCCATAACCAAGACCTTCCAAGGTTGGCAATGGGGGAGGCTCGCCACATGGATAAGGGAAGTGAGACCTCACAGCCCAACTGTGTTTCTGAGATTCATCATCCCTTTGGATGGGAAGGGGGTGTAATACTAATTAACTACCAACACTGTTCTAGCTTTAGTGGAGGAATGTGGCTCTCTCCTTAATACTCTGTTCCAAGCATAGCCAACACTTTTTTCCTTTGTTCCCTTTATCATAGCCGAGGCAAGGCTGGAACGTTTAAACAAGACTTTGAAGTCTTAGGGGTCCCAAAGGGGAAATTAGCAGGGCAGGGGCCCAAGCAGCAACTGCATTTGGCTGATCTCCAGGGCCCACAAGTCTTGGCCCATCCTTGCTCCTGGCCAGCATCCATATGGCAGACAACATCTCGGCAGCCACCACCCAGTGGGACAAGCCTGATCATCTGCCTTCCTCAAAGTCCAGAGCCAAGAAAGAAACACAAGCAAAAAGAGAAATCCCCACTCCTCCCTAAGATTCACCTTTCCAGATCCAACTCTCTTTTCACTAGATTATTGGCACTGGAATGCTCATCTTCTTCCTTTAGCAGTCCCAACAAATTGAGCTGGTCACATAAGCTGAGCATTGACACAGGAGTTTTGCCCCACAGGTGCATGGGTGCCATTTCACAGCAGGGTCAACCTGGGATACACAAACACACACATACACACACACACACTCACATTCCTCCTCACCACTGGCAAAGCTCAAGTTCTAAATTGTATGCTTCATCCATAGCAAAGACTACAGCTTCCGCAAGACTGGGAAATTTTATTCTATGACATTCCCTGCTATAGAAATTACTAAAAGCAGGTTTCACATACTTCACTTTATAGGAAAATAATAGGCTCTAGAATATCACATCATCAGTCACCCACTTCATCATCTCTGAGAGCACTTGAAAGTTGCAAAGAAGTGAACCCTGCCCTCAGGTTAAGCCAAGAGTAGCCAGCAAGCTGCTCCATTCCCCAGCATCCAAATATCCAGGGCAAACTCAATGCCTACAACTTAGTAATGTTGTCACCTGCTCTGTTTAATTAGAAGTTGTGTGGTCATGAACGGCCCTTTATTTTTTCACCATTTTCAGTGATGAAATGGAAGTTATTAGTGGCTCTTCAATCCCCCTCCCACTCCAGAAAAGACATGGGCCAGCAGTTATGCCCAGAGCCAGACCCGCTTGGGTCTGATTCTTTGCTCTAACCCACAGGGTAACAACCTCTCCCCACCTGGAAGCAGAAAGCAAGACCCAGCCTCTGTCACAGCCCTCCTCCCCATGTCTGCTTTGCAGCTCCTGTGAGCTCCCTGATGAGACTCATGACAGGGTCCTCTCTGCCTCCACTCATGCAGAGTCTGGCACATAGTATACATTCAGTAATTGCCTGTTGTATAGAATAGAGTGGGCTTCTAATTTTATTTGAGGTGTGAGTAATTCAGAGCTGTCCCTCTGTCATCCATTCATTCATCTATTTACTGAGCATCTATTGCATACCGCGTACTCGGCAGACACTGGGGATAGAGCAGTGAGCAACACATACAAAATTCCTGCCCTCAAAGAGACTATAGTCCTATGACATAGGAAAAAAATGTGTGTTATACACAAACAATGAATCATGGAACACTACATCAAAAACTAATGATGTACTTAATGGTGACTAACATAACATAATAAACAAAATTCTAAAAAAAAAATTAGCGAAAATCACACACATACCAATTCACAGGTTGGAGAGATTCCTAAGAGAGAAAGAATGGGGTGATGAGCAAAGGGTGCCTAGGCCTGAGACTTGAGGTGCTCTAACATTTAAGGGTTGCATAAAGAAGACTCAAAGCAGAATAGCCAGAAAGGCAAGAAAAGAACCAGGGAAGTAAGGCATGATGGAGACTAAGAAAGGAGAGTTTCAAGGTGGCAGGTGTGGCAAGCAATGCCAAACAAGTGCCCTTGGACTTACATTCTGGAGGTCATTGGTGATCTTAACGAGAACCATCTCAGTGGCAGGATGGGGACAAAAGCCATTTGGAGGTGAATTGGGAAGTGAGTGGGAACAGTGATTGCACAAAATGCCTTCAAGAATTTGGCTGTGAACTACTGGGTATTTACCCCAAAGATACAAAAGTAGGGATCCGAAAGGGTACGTGCACCCCAATGTTTATAGCAGCAATGTTCACAATAGCCAAAC